GGAGGAGGAGGAGGAGGAGGAGGAGGAGGAGGAGGAGGAGGAGGAGGAGGAGGAGGAGGAGGAGGCCTGGCGCAGCCGTCCTTCGAAACGAACAGCTGGAGGAGGAGGACGATGAGGAGGAGGAGGAGGAGGAGGAGGAGTCGCTTGTTCCACGGTCCCCTGCCCTTTGAGGCTGTGCCTGGTCCGCTGGGCTGTCCTCCCACGCGTCTGCGGGGGCCCACTCGTCGTCCCCAGGGTCGCCTTGTCGCTCCACCTGGCTCTGTGGCAGGGGAAGGCGGGGCTCCCTGGAGGGGGGGGGGTGGGCGTCGGCAGGCCTGCGAGGGCAGTTTGGCGGGCTCGCGGCGCGGCCCGTAACTCCGCCTGGTTGCGAGCAGCGTTGGAAAAAGTACAAAAGCATGCTACGGTGTCTGGGCAATCTGGGCAATCTGAAAGGGTCTAGAGTCACACAGCTTGCAAAACTAAGCAAAGGAACAAACAAACATTGAGCTACTGATTGTGTCCTCCCATCGTCGGTTCGGCTTTCAGGCCCTCGACTGTTTCCCCGTTCCTTCCGTGCTCGCTGTTCTGCCCCCCCTCCTCGCTGGCCGCGCCGCATTCCCAGACCTGTCTTTGCTACCTCTGGCTCGTGCTTCACAGTCGTGATGCGGCTCTGGGCGGGTCCCTCGGTCTCTGTGTTTCTACGGTCGGTCGTGTCGAGCCCGGGGGTGCTGTCTGGCAGTCATGCTCCGCTGTTGTCCTGCTTTGGCTACCACGTTCTCCGACGTCGACGAGCGAGAGAGGAAAGATGTTGGCCTCTGGTCGGGTGGCGGGTCTTCTCCCACTGCCGCGAGGGCGGCCCGCCGAGCCTCCAGCTCCCCGCGCCTCACAGTCGTGATGCGCGCCGTTGTGGCCTCGCCACCGCAGAGGTCCCCCTGCTTTTTCCAGTCGGGGGGGGGGTCATCCTCCTCCTCCCTTGGGTTGCGGCCTTTCCCTCTCGCGGGCTCGCCGCTTAGTGTACAGCAGCGCCCCCCTCTGCCTCACAGGCGTGATCCGGAGCGCTCAGCTAGGTCCCGAGCGTCTCGCACTGGGGACGGCCTGTTGCGCCCCCCTCCCCTCTCGTGTTTCCCCCCTCGTTGGGACAGGCCCCGCCCCGAGGGCGTCCGCAGTGTTGTCGCTTGTTTTTTAGGAGGAGGAGGAGGAGGAAGAGGAGGAGGGGGAGGAGGAGGGGGAGGGGGAGGAGGAGGAGGAGGAGGAGGAGGAGGAGGAGGAGGAGGAGGAGGAGGAGGAGGATCCGCCCGGCTGTGACGTTACCCTCGGGGCCGCCCCTTTTCAAGCCCCCTCCGATTGGAGCTCGTGCCCGGTCCTCTGTGCCGCCCTCCTCCGCCTCGCCGGGGTGTCCGCTCGGCGTCCCTCTCGGCGGCACGTATAAGAGTGACCCTGGGCCAGAGTGGCCTCTGGTGCGCGGCTTTTTTGGGGGAGCGCAAGGAGGCCAAGCACGAGCGCGCAAGACGCTACTATCGCACCGAGCGCGCGGCGATCGGAGGGCCCCAGTGAGCGCGCACCAGAGGTCACTCCGGCGGAGGGTCACTCTCACGTGTCGTCGAGTCCCTGGGATCGCCACGTCGCTCCACTTGGCTCCTGGCCGGGGGGGGGGGCAGGGCGCCCGGGCGGGGGAGGGGGGTGCGCCGGCGGGCTCTCGGAGGGCAGTCCTCTGCGCGAGTGGTGCGGCCGGCAACTCCGGCGAGCGGCGCGTCCCCGCTCCGCGGGAGGCGCGGCTGGTTGCGGGCGGCCTGTTCCTGCTTGCTCGGGAACCAGCAGGGGGGGGAGTCCAACGCGGAGGTCGCCCAGGCGAGGATCGCCAACGCCGCCCCTGCAGATGGAGGATATTCAGCTACCACAGTGGTCGCCCTGCAGCTACCCAGGGCGCCCACGCGGGGTGTATGACACCACCGCCCGTCCCTCGTCGGCTGCAGGACTCCGGCTCTGAGCCGCAGCGTCCGCGGAATGGGCGCCGGGGGTCGCCGGCGCGCGCGCCGCGGAGGCTATTGTGACTGCGAGACGCGAAATGCGGAAAAAAATTGACGATGAGTACGAGGATGGAGGGAGGAGGAGACGGAGGAGTAAGCGAGTCCAAGACTATGACGAGGAAGAAGACCGCGCGACAAGGACGAGGAGCAGGGAGAGAGAAGGCAGCGGAAGACGAGGAACAGGAGGGGGCCAGCCCAACTCCCCCCTCATCCTCCAGCTACACCTCCTCGTCGCTCATCCCTTCTTATATACTGTGCCCACGAGCCCACGGCCACCCTTGTGACGCCTTCGCCTCCTCCTCGTCCTCCTCTTCCTCCTCCTCCTCCTCCTCCTTCTCCTCCTCTCCTCTTCCGTGTCGGTGTGCCCATCGCGACTCTTCCTGAGCTTCCTCAGGCCCCCTCCTCCTCATCCTCCGTATCCATGTGCTCATCAGGACTGCTCCTCCTCCTCCTCCTTCTCCTCCTCCTCCTCCTCCTCCTCCTTCCCCCCTCTCCTCCTCAGGCCCCCTCCTCCTAGACTTAGACCCCCCTCCTCACCCACGCCCACTGGAGGGCAGTGCGGCACCCGCGCGCAGGACGCCTTCACCAAGCAAGCCCTCACGCCTCCGCCCGCTCAGTACCCCCCCCCTGCTCCTCCTCCAGCCTACCTTCAAGTCGGGCCTGTCCCCCTACAGGCCGAGCTTGGACGACAAATGAAAAATACCTATAAAAGATACCATAAAAATGCGCAAACATTGTCAAAAATAGTCCCCTGACTATTTTTTACTATTTTTGAACAGTCCCCCTGTAGAAGGACAGGCCCGACTTACAGCCTGCCTCCGCGCGCACCCCGAGAGACCCCCCCCCAGCTGGGAGCAGCTCTCGGCCCACGGTTTGCGGCCAGGTGCTGCGGGACGCGGCGCTCGCCGCCAGGCGCGGGCAGGGCCCTGGCGCTGCCGCCAGCGCCTGCACCCTCGCACCGGTGAGAAGTGGTGGTGCCGAGGGAATCAGACACAGGTCAGGTCAGAAGCCGTGCATCTGTAAGACGCGTTGGCAAAAGCATCCGGATCGCTGTTGGACCGATGCTTGCCGGTGCGCCTGCCTGTGGGTGTATAAAATCACCTCTGGGTTGCGATAGCGCACGGCGGAAAACGGAGTGCGACACGACTGTGAAGCAGAAGCACAAAGCGCATCACGACTGTGACGCACAATATACAGCGCCCGACTGCGAATCAGACACAGAGGAGGGGAAAAGACATGAACATAAACTTGCGGAAGTCCGCGCGGACCTCCGAAAGATTCTGGTTATGGCATTTCACCCTGCACCAGCTGCAACGCTCGGGCCGGGCGAAAGGGGGAGGTGGAGAATCCGCTCCCGTAGCTGATTCTCCCGGCGCCTCCCGGCGCCGGGAGGCGCCCCTGTATCGAGGAAGGGGTCCCTCGGTGGGGCCTAAACCAGCTGCATGCAGCAGACTTCGTACCCCCCCTCTCTCTCTCTCCCAGCTCCCCCCCTTTCGTTCGGCCCGATCCGGAGGAGCAGCTCCCGCCGCTGCGCCCGGCGCGCTCTCGGCCGGCGGGCGGGCCGAGGCCCGCCCCTCGGGGGCGCGGCCGCTGCTCCACGCCCGCGGCCGCGGCGCCGACGCCGCCGACGACCGAGTCCACGACCAGACGAGCGCGTTCCACTACGCGCAAAGTAACTACTCGCAAATGGCCTGGATCCGCCGCGGGGGACCTACGCTAAACGACATCGGAAACGGGCATGCGTTGTCCGGGCGTTTGCGAGCAGGCACTTTGCGAGTAGTGGAACGCGCTCGGCGAACGACCACGAGGCCGACGCCGACGACGCCGGCGCCGACCATGACGGAAACGCCGACGACGCAGACAACGACGCCGACGACGACGACGACGACGACAAGGAGGATCAAACCGGGACTGGTTCCAAGGGCAACCCTGTCGTCAGGCATGAAGACATGAAGCGCAAGAGACAAGAAACAGCAGCAACCTTCAATTTGCAGGTCGGCTTACTAATGAGACCCGACTTTCGATGATCGGGTTGACCCAAAAGGGGGTCCAGCGACAAGTGGCTTGTGCAACAGATTTGGTGCAATAGACTTTTAGGGTTGTAGTACATTTGGGGCGTGCAATACATTTCGGGGCACAAATGTATTGCTGCATTTTCGCGTGCAGTACATTACTTGCAATGCAATGCAATGCAATGCAATACAATTCTCTGGCGCACTAGATTTGCAATACAATTGCCCCAACTGTATTGCACCACACCCTTTCAACTGGACCCCCTTCTGGGTCACCCAAAGATGCGCTGCAAGCTTCCTCGTACCCGCAGAGGCCTCTCGGCCTCCGGAGGCCTCCGTAGGCCAGGGGCCCCTGGGGACTCAGGGGTGAGCACGTCCACAAGCTCAGGAGCTCCCGGAGGTCGCCAAAAGGGCTCCAAACCTGCATCCTGGAACCTCGACCCTCCTCGATGCAGCCTCAGGGCGGGAAGCGATGGGGGAGGGACTGGCCCCAGAGAGGGGAAACATCGACCTGGAGTCAGTGATGCATCGCCAACACTCGCGGCCACGAGCTACCCGAACGGCGAGCACGTTCCTGGGGCATGGCTGTATGCCCAGGTGGGCGACGCATGGGCAGAGGAGGGGTCGATGTTTCCTTCCATGGATCTGGAAGCCCCCCAAATGGGGCAAGAAAGGACGAGGTCGGTGGATCGCACATCATCGCCGACCTATCGCATGTGCATCGGCGACGTCGGGATGGACATACTCGGGCTCTGGATCGAGCCTCATCTGCCCCGGCCCCAGCTGGGCGGCCTACAATCCCCCCTGATGGGCGATGCCAGCGCTCACCAAGTGTCCTCGCCCTCGTCGTCGTCCCGATGGCCACCTGGCACGTCCTTGAGCTGGGACTGCGCTGGCGCAGCCAGTACACAGGCCAGGCGGCCCCACACAGAGGCACAGATGAAGAAGCTGGCGCCCCCTGGACGAGGGACGATGTTGACACTCACCAGCTGTCGTCGCTCTCGCTGTCGTCCTGATACACCGACACTGGTCCATGGGCCCTCTGGAGCCTGGCCAAGATCAGCGTGGGTGTATGCGGAAGAAGGGAAAAACGACATCGGTCAGCTTCCTGTCACCTCTGCTGGGGGCGAATTCGTACCAGGATTCCAAAGGCGAATCCAGCAGTGGGGGCGAATGCCCCCTAAGAATCCCAACAAGGCAAAAACGAGGGAGGAGGATCGGTACCGGTATGCGGCAGTGCGCCGAGGGGGGGAATGAGAAGGGCCAGGCCTTCGCAGAAAGGATTCTCAGAAACCCCTCGACTTTTTGAGCAGCCCCCAGTGGCATCGGGTCATGCCCAGGAAGCTCGTCGGAACGCTGGAAGCCTCCTGAGTTTTCTGGGAAAGTCCGCCCCCACTGCCTTCCCCCCTGGACGCACTTGCGATGAGTGCTCTATTGTTCTGCGTGCAGCTTCGGGCGCGCATTGACAGAAGAAGAAGAAGCAAAACAATAAGCACCGATCAACAACACATCTCACGGTAAGACCCAGGATGGGAATCCCCCAATCGAGTCTGGAAATGGACCTCCTTGTCGTCTTTGTGAGTGCAGGGGCTCTCTTCCCGTCTCCCTAATCGCCCTGGCGGAGGCCCTCCTCCCGCCCCCTGCCCTCCCACGGCCTCGTCCCCATGCCTCCTCTCCCCCCTCATCCACCTCCTCCCCAGGCCGTTGGGGCAAAGCCCGCGTGCCGCTGTGGCGCGGAAGCAGGCACTGGGCCTGAACATGAGCAACCTCCTCGCCCGCGCGTCGGCCTCGCCGTCGTCCGTCAACGCCGTCCGCTCCCATTCACAACTTCCTCGCGAGTCCTTTACAGACGAGCCGCTTGGCTCCCGCCCGGGACTTCCTCGCAGTTCACTCACAGAGGAGGCTCCCGCTCGAGACGTCCTCCATATTCAAATCTCATGAGAGCTGCGGACCCCAGCGGGAGGGGGCTCCCGCCTGAGGCTTCCTCGCATTTCCCTCACAGATGATGCTCCCGCCTGAGACTTCCTCCAGACTCGAGCTTGAAGAGGCCAGGAGTGTCGACGGTTACAGGTTCCCGATGCTCCGCTCGGATTAGTAACATGACCTGCGGGCCCCACAGTGAGGGGGCTCCCGCCTGAGACTTCCTACGTACTCGAGCTTGAGAAACCCGGAAATTACGACTATTACAGGTTCACGATGGCCCGCTCGAATTAGTAACATGAGCTGCGGGCCTCAACGGGAGAGGGCTCCCGCCTGAGGCTTCCTCGCAATTCCCTCACAAATGATGCTCCCGCCTGAAACTTCCTCCAGACTCGAGCTTGAAGAGGTCAGGAGTGACGACGGTTACAGGTTCCCGATGCTCCGGTCGGATTAGTAACATGAGCTGCGGGCCCCATGGGGAGGGTGGCTCCCGCCTGAGACTTCTTCGCAATTCACTCAACGAGGAGGCTCCCGCCTGCGACTTCCCACGTACCCAAGCTTGAAGAGGCAACATGTCACGAGAATTAACAGGTTCACGATGACCCGCTCGGAGTAGCGAAATGAGCTACAAGCCCCAACGGGAAGGACTCCCGTCTGAGACTTCCTCGCAATTCACTCACAGACAAGGCTCCCGCGTGAGACTTCGTCCACATCCAAGCTAGGAAATTCCAAAAACAACAACAGTGACAAGTTCCCGATGACCCGCTCCCTGAGACTTCCTCGCAATCGACTCACGGACGAGGCCCTCGCTCGAGACTTCCTGAAGATGACTGTATGAGCGAGTGGGTGAATGCGAGAACATGACTTGGTGATGATGAGGGAGCTGTGGAGTGGTGAGTGTGAAAACATGGTGTGGTGATGATGATGGCGATGAACAGTGGTCATGATGTGATGATGGTTGTCATGATTGCTGGTGATGGTGATTATTATGACGGAGATGATGGCGGCGATGATGATAATGATGGTTCGGATGATGGATGATGGATAAAGCATGGTGGATGATGGTGACGATGATGCTGATAATGATGATGGTGATGATGTTAATGATGCGGATGATGGATGATGAATGGTGGATGATGGTGACGACGTCGACGACAGCGACAACAATGATGTCGATGATGATCATGCTGATGATGGTGATGGTGGTGATGCTGATTATGTTGATGGTTATGATTGTAATATGATGATGCTATTGATGGTGATGATGATGATGCTGCTGATCATGATGATGCTGATTGTGATGATCATGCTGATGCTGATGCTGATGCTGCTGATGATGATGATGCTGCTGATTGTGATGATGCTGATGATGATAATGATGATGATGATGATGAGGATGAGGATGATGATGATGATGATGATGATGATGATGATGATGATGATGATGATGATGATGATGGTGATGCGGATGAAGTGATGATCAGGAGGATGACGATGTGAGGGTGTACCTGTTCCTGCGAGGGGGTGTACAGAGAAAACAACACCCCCACTCAGGATGTGGGGAAAGCTGGCCATGAGATCTTGGAAGTATCATGGCCCCGGCCATGATATCCACACACGCACACACCAAGTCATCCCCCCCTCTTTTGGGCGCTCCCGAAAATTGAGCGACGAAAAGAACGGTTCTTACGCAATTTGAGATAGCGACCTTACGAGGCGGCATACGCGGGCCGCCAGCGCGGCACGCCGCATTGGAGACGAGAACGCTTAAGCGCGACCTCACGCGGGCAGCTTACGCGCTAATGTCGGCGCAGACGGCCCCGTTTTCACGCGTTGCTCAGTTGGCGCCCCCGACATGGGTTTGAAGGTACCGGTACCGCAACACCCTGGACCTCTTCTCCCGGGGTGCGCTCCGACCAGCATCCGAGGGCCTCCCAGGAGGCCAGGAGAGGCGGACGGGAGGGCAGAGCAGCGGCATCGGTGCCTCTCCCTCTGACCGAAGTCTTAAGTCGGGCGTGTCCCCCTACAGGGGGAACTTGGGCGACAAATAAAAAACACACACACACACACAAAAAAAAATACCCCCCAAATGGGCAAACATGATCTAACAGTCGTCCCCAGACTATCTTTCTATCATTTTTCAATCTTCCTCCTGTAGATCGAGGGACACGCCCGACTGAACCCGAGTCCTCGGGGCCCTCCGGGGCCTCCAGGAGCTGCGGCTGCGGCGGCGCGGCCGCCGCGCCTGGCCGCGGCGGCGCGGCCGCCAAGCCCCGCCGCGGCGCCCCGGGGCCCGCGGGGCCCGGCGGCGCCTCCGGCGCGCCGCCGATCTGCGCCGAGGCCTCGCGCAGGCGGGCGACCTCGCGGCGCAGGGCGCTCTCCCGGGCCATCTCCTCCTCCGGGGGGGGGGCGAGGCGAGGCGCCGGCCAGGCGTCCCGGGGGCACGGCCCTACAAGAGCCCGGCGGTGGCACTGGAGCGCCGCCGGAGGAGGAGGAGGAGGAGGAGGAGGAGGAGGAGGAGGAGGAGGAGGAGGAGGAGGAGGAGGAGGAGGAGGAGGGGGGAGGGCGGGAGCTCGGCGACCCAGGGCTTCGACGAGCGGCGCGCCCCCCGAGGTGCAGGGGGGGAGGGGCCGCCGACGCCGAGGTGCCCCTGCCTCGCTCCTCGCCCCCCCATTGGGCCTCCTGGGGGGCCCGCCTCGTCGCCGAGGCCGGGCTCGCCCCGAGGTCCTGGTCGGAGCGCACCCCTGGGGGGTGTGGCCGGGAAGTGCAGCTCGGCCACGCGCGAGGGAGGTTTCGGGGGAGCGGAGGGCTTCTCAGAAGGAGGCTGCCTATAGTAGACGGCGGGGGCCTGATCTGCAGAGGGAAGGCCGGCGCCTTCTAAGAGGCAGCCTCCCTCCAGGAAGCCTTCCCCCCTCTCCCTATACCTCCCTTCTGCGCGTGGCCGAGGAGCCGCTTCGGTGCCACGGAAGCTGGGCGACCCTCGATGCGCGTGCTGCTCGGGGGAAACGCCAGGGGCCACTCTGGCACGGCAGGCGAGCGAGCGAGACGCTCTTTGCTCCGCGGCGCCCTGGATCCAAGAGTTGCGGTCGTGGCTACGGCAGGGCCGCTGCTGCGCGAAATGGTCACGAAGGCGGCGAGGAAGGCCAGGAGGGAGATGGAGGAGAGAGCCACGGACGGCACAAGAGCGAGCGGTACACGCACGTCTCGAAGGCGGCGCGCGTGCCACGGATACGTACTCGTTTACCCTTCCTGGCTCCTGGATGTTCTGCTCCAGGACGGTGATGTACTGCGCCAGGGACCTCTGGTCGCGCTCTGCCATGGTCTCGTGGACCTCCCTGGCGTAGCGCACGTGGCGGAAGGCCTCCTCCATCTTCCCCTTGGCCCTGGCCTCCTCGGCCTCCAGGCCCTCGCGGCCGCCCTCCTTGCCCTTCATGACAACGTCGATGAACGCGGCCTCGTCTCTGTAGGCGTACTTCTCGGCGGCCAGCCCGCTCCAGTAATTCACCGTCTTCCTCGCTTCGTCCCGGCTCCAGTCCGCCACCATGCCCCCCTGGCACGCTGAGAGGCGCGGGAGAAGGTCAAGACAGGCCCAGGACGGCCGATTAGGCCGATGAGTCGGTGGTGGACAAACCTCCCTTTAGTAAACCTCCCTTTAATGAAAACGGCCTGGGGCCGAAACCGACGGACCTGGACCCGCAAAAATGACGGGCGCGACGTCCTCTCGCGAACCGAAAACGGCAAATTCGCTAATCGACGTGTCAGGGTAGAAGGTCTATCAACCTCCGAATGAGAGCCGCTTGGGGAAGCGAGACCCCAATCGGGCCGGGCGAAAGGGGGGGATAGCAAAGGGGCGGGTTTGAGAATCAGCTCACGTAGCTGATTCTCCCGACGCCTCCCAGCGCCGGGAGGCGCCCATGTATCGAGGAATGGGCCCGGCGGCGGGGCCGAAACCAGCTGCACGCAGCAGAGTTCGTAACCCCCCCCCCTTTCCCTGTCCTCTCCCCTTTCGTTCGGCCCGAGTCTATCGGCCTCCGAATGGGAGCCCCTCGGGGAAGCGAGACCCCAGGTTCGGGGATGGACAAACCTCCCTCTAGCAAAACGTGGCTCAGTGAAGACGACCTGAGGCCCAAATCTGGCGGGCGCAGGCCTGGAAAATAACGGCCGCGGCGCCCTCTCGAGAACCGAAAACGGACAATCCACTACGGCAGGTTCGTGTCGTGCCGACCCCAGCGTTGGTTTTTGACACCGCAGGGATCGTTCAACCTTGAACGATCGGCCGCTGCCGCAACGTCCGATCGCTCAACACCGATCGATTCTGGGTCGCCGGCGGCGTTCAACCTTGAACGCCCGCGCTGGGGTCGCCGCTGGTCGACACGACGCAAACCTACACCCTGCGAAGTGCTCAAGAAATCATGGGTTAAGAAATTCATGGTCTCAGAACTTGAATAAAAACCGAGAATTTCTATCAAAATCTTGGGATTTACACTGAAACGTTGAGAATAATCGAGACTCTGGACGAAAACTTACGTTTTCTTAAGCATCGCCTAAGGTGTAATCGACGTGTCACTGCTGGGGGTTCCGTCCACCCCCGACGGGTGCCGCGCGCCGCGGCGCGCGGACTGCGGTGCTCTCTGCGCGCCGGCGCGCGGACTGCCGGCGCCAGGGCACGGCACGGCGGCGGCGCTCGCCGCAGGCAGCAAGAATACAGGACTTCTCGGAGGGGCGAGTTTTCCACCACCACCACCACAAGTTGGAGGCGGGAAGGAGGAGGAGGAGGAGGAGGAGGAGCAGGAGGAGGAGCAGGAGGAGGAGGAGGAGGCGGAGGCGGAGGAGGAGGAGGAGGAGGAGGAGGCGGAGGAGGCGGAGGAGGAGGAGGGGGAAGACCCCCTCCCTCTCGAACGTATGGTGGTGGTGGCGGCGGAAAACGGGCCCATCATTCTTGCATGCGTTCGTCGACGTCGCACACGTCAGGAATGCCCCTCGCTCTCTTCAAGGAGGGCGCGGGGCCGCCTGCACTGAAGTCGCCCGTCTCCCTGATTGTGGCGATCCGCTGCGAGGTGATGTGCACGCGCTTGGCCCGCGTTGGAGGACCCTCCTCTTTTTTGAACTGCGGGTCTTGGGACATCGTGTGGTCGTTGTCCCATTCAATGAAGCGGAGGAGTCGGCCGAAGAATGGTTTGAACTTCCTCTTCAAGCTGACGGCAGGAGGATCAGCGGTAGCAAAAGTCCGGTCGATAATCGCGAACAGTGTGTTCGAAACGACAATGTAGCACAGAACAAGGTATGGGTAAAAAAACAACGTGGCCATGACGGGGTCAGCCTCGTAGAGTGGACCGAAATCAAATCGGCCAAACAAATAGTCCACGCAAAATACCATCGCCCGGCCGAATGTCGAGCAGTCCACCGCCGAATGTCGCTCTCCGAAGGAAATCCATGAAAACATTATAAAACCAAGCAAGATGACAGCCATGAACACCACAAACCAGAATATATCATACCTAGCATCGAACAATGTCTTCCACAACTTCGCCATCCGCACACTTCCATCTTTCAGAAATTTTATCGGCCGGATGAATACGAACAACATGTTTACTCCAGAGAGTCGGATAAACTCTTTATGCCAGACCGTCATGTTTCTGAGATAGTTGAGAAAGTCAACGAGGCTGCCTTCCAGAGCGCCTTTGAGGTGCATGTCCTTGGAGAGCCACGCGGCAAAGCTTGCTGCGGCCGTCAGGGATACCAAAATGGATATCACCTCCAAAGCGTTGAACGGGTCTCCTAAAAAGAAATCCAATGTGATACTCAGTCGGCTCTCGTATCCGTCTTCCTGCTCGTCCTTGCTCCTCCTGATGAAGGACTGACCCAGCTCCTGGAGCAGGCTGGCCGAGAAATAGACAGAGAAGAAAACGCACAGCACGCCCGGAAACACCCTCTGCGCAAGGGTTGCCGCAACCTGACGGGCGCCCCCATCCAAGTCGATCAAGGCCATCGAGTGCAGGTCGATGGACTGCCGCAAGCTGCCGCTACTCAGGAGGTCGAACGTCACCCCGACCAGGGTGATGACGTTGTGGTTGGCGTTGAAGAGGGCAAACTCCGCCTTCAAGGTCTTCGTGTTGTACGTGAACAGATCGTGCGTCGTAGCCGCCAGCTCGTCCATGGTTCGGGTCGGCCGAAAGGGGGGGATAGCCAAGGGGGGGTTTGAAAATCAGCTCACGTAGCTGATTTTCCCGGCGCCTCCCGGCGCCAGAGGCGGCTATGTATCGAGGAATGGGCCCCTCGGTGGGGCCGAAACCAGCCGCATGCAGCAGATTTTGTACCCCCCCCTTTCCCAATCCCCCCCTCTCGTCCGGCCCGAATGGTGGACGTGAACAGGCTGAAATTGGCATCGAGGGAACACGAGATCTCCAGCTCCCCGCCCGCGGCGCACGAGGTGCTGCACGGCAGGCCGCCGACCTCGAAGCCGCTGCCCGGCAGGGCGTGGCCGGCGGCGGCGGGGCACGCCGGGCTGCCCGCGAGGCCGCCCCTGGGAGCCTGCCGGTTCGGCACGAGCCCGGGCCCGCCGACAAACGCCCCGCCGCCGCCGCACGGGGCGGCCAGGCAGCCCTCGTTCCTCTCGGCACCTCGGCGGACGGCGGTGAGGAGGACCATCTCCTGGGCGGCGCTGCCGCTCTCCATGTGGACCACGCAGTTCCAGCGGGCCAGGCACCAGGGGGGGCCCTCGGACCTCTGAGCAAACAGGACCTCTCGAGACAAGAGCAGCCGACCGAACGGAAACGTTCGGACGACCGCGCGGACGTCTTTGGATCTTCGCTGGGCCCGGGTTTAACCCTGGAACCCTAAACCCTAAACCCTAAACCCTAAACCCTCCCTGGCACGCGGGGCCCGGCGCCGATCCTAGAACTCCGCGCGGATCGTCCGAATCTCATGTTTCTGCCGTTTGCTCTCCTTCGGGCCTCTGGGAGGGCGCTCACCAGCCAGGTCTGGGCGTGGCTGTTCCTCCAGAGCTCGCCCCACCTGACGTACTGCGTGAAACCTCCACGCTGCGGGACGTCGATCTCCACCGCCTCGATGGCCGCCTCCACGGCGGCTGCCAGCTCGAAGCTGGTGCCCACCGCGATGTTGGCCCAGAGGAACCAGAGGTAGGTGGCCGCGTACAGGAAGAACATGCAGACCGAGACGACCTCATACAAGACCAAACGAAGCAGAAACCCAAATTGTGGGGGATAGCAGCGCGGATTTCTTGGATCTGCGCTGGACACCCCCTTCCTGGGCGCACAGAGCGCACCAGGGACGGCGCCCGAGGCGCCGTCCAGGCGATCCAGCGAAGATCTAAGAAATCCGCGCGGAGCTCCGAAAGTGTAAGGTTATGCAGTTGTTTAGTTGTTCGAGACCTTGAAGGTGGCGTGCTGGTGGTCGGTCTTGTTGAGAAAGCTCTGCACCTTCTCCCTCGTCTCGTCGTCCAAGTGCTCGAAGGCGGGCTGCGACTTCTTCTGGGACTTCTGGCCTTCGGCGGCGGCGGCGGAAGCCGTCTGCTCCTCAGCGGCCGCGGGCCACACCAGCCTGTAAAGGTGCCTCTTCCAAGGCTCGGCCTGAACAACGTTTCCCGTGTTCGTTTGGTTTTCGTGCTCCCTCGTTCTGTCTTCGTCCCGGCGTTGCTGCAAAACGAAATGAACACGAAAACAGCCACCGAAATCGCCAAAATACTGTTTGGGTCGAGCCCTGGCCTCGTCACCTTCGTCACCAGCGACCGTCTGTTGGCGAGCTTCCTCTTGACCCTGTCGCTATGCGCCTGGCGGCGCTCCTTGTCGAACTCTGCCTGCATGTCCTCGCTGACGCGGTTGTAGGCGTAGTTGATGACGGCACTGAACATGTGCACGGAGAAGATGTAGAATGCAATGAGGAACCCCACCAGGAATAGCAAGAAATAACCCCCGCTGACGTCCTCGACTGTGGTGACGTCGCCAAAGAACAACTCCATCGTCGTGGCCAGCGCACGCCCCTCGGTGTGGAACTGCGCGTATCTGTGCCCGAACAACGCAATGGCGAAGAAATAAAACCCGACAAAAAATGCGAGCACGTAGCATCCGTATGAGAACAACTTCCCTGACATCATGACGAACGATCGAGCCAGGCGCCGCAGTCGAAAATTGTACCTGGACAGCAGCTGTAACGCACGACAATATATTAGCAAGAGGGCGATCGCCGACACGCGGCAATAGACTAAGCTGAAGTATTCGATGACAGTGCGGACAACATCAATATTCTTATATGCCTCTTCGCTCTCGATCAACTCATGCAGCCTACTATCATGGACTTTCCACGTTATGCATTGCGCAAGGCTAAAAGCGATAGATAACAAATGGACGTACGTCCACACATCTGTGAAGAACGCCCTGTCTCCGTTGATGCTGGAACCCCATGCCTTCACCAAAATAATGATGAACCGCAAACATGTCATTATAAAATTCGCTGGTCCCGCGGACCACAAACGTGTTAGACATTGCCTGTGTACGGAATGTGGAAGAGCGAAACTGGAGCCCGAGAAGGCTCACATCACGGTTTTTACTAGGAGCATCGGCGTTGAGTAATTTGTACCATCGTTCGAACTGGGAGTCTTGACGGTAAACATATGTTCGTACCCATTCGGTATTGGAAACGTTGGCGTTCACGGCATGTTACATCACGCTTCGCTTTTCTGAGTCTTGGCCTGAACATGTTTTTACGCCACCTTCCACTCTTAGCGACCTAAGCGTTAAACACTTGTCGGGGCCCTTTGTGAGCCTCTTCGGGCATCTCGGGGGAATGAAGGGGACTCTTGGGTGCATGCCAAGGGTCTGGGGCCCTTTCGGTGACCTCTTTGGGTCCCCTTGGGGCTCCGTTGGGCCGTCTTGGGGTTGTCGTGGGCCGTCTCGGGGCCTTTTGGGGCTTCCTTCGGTCGATATGGGAGGCCCTGGTGTCGTCTTGCGGTGTCGGAAGCCCTTCATGGGGAGAAAACCCAAATCTTGAAAACATGTTGGAACAATAATGATTACATCTTGAAGTCCTTAGGGGGGCGCCTTGGGGACACCTGGTGGGCCGTCTTGAGGCCATCCTGGACCGTGTTGGAACTTTGCTGGGCCGTCTTGGAGCCCTCTTGGGGTTCTCTTGGGCCGGGTGGGGCGAACTAAAACGCCTCTTGGGCCGACCTTGTGGCCCCTTGGTCGCTCGTGGGGCCCATTTCGGCCGAGGTGGGCTCGCCGGGCGGGGCGGAATTAAGCCAAGTAGGGCCCCCCACACCTGGAATCCCCCCACCCCTGGGGCTCATCGCCCCAACTCAGAACGTCGTCATTCGTGCATTCGTGCCCCGTTCGTCTCGTCAGCCGTTTTACACAAGCGAGCAACTCAGGCAACAGCGGTCGGAGTGATGCGCGTGAGGGCGGCCCTGGGGTGTTGCGGACCTACCTGGGGCCGAACGGGCCCCAAGGAGCGTGACAGGAGCCCCCAGAAGAGCGCGGGTCAATGCGTGGTTTGACTGGAAATACGTTCCCGACGGGCCCACTGACTCCAAGATGGCACCATGATGCGCCAACATGGGCAACTGCAGTCTAGTTGAATGCACGGTCGGCCCAGAATGTCTAAATGACCCCTCCTCAGAGGTTCCCTAGATAACCAACACCAATTGAAAATCGAATGTGTCTGGTCCGCTGCGGGCGGGGTGCACTAGGCTTCTCGGACTCGCGCAACTCATGATAGGCACTTGGAACTGTGCTGTGCAACTGCCTAGGTCTTACACCTTGACACGCGCCCTCAACGAGTGCGCACGCATCTCCAGAAACACGGCCCCAGGAAGTAATTCACAACCATCGCCGGACACCGCCGCCGATGTTCTCTGCATTTTTCCTGCTCGGGATATCTCGCGCGCGCAGTGCACGCCGAAACTCTCAAACTCAGAGAGCACCCCCTCGAAGACTCGACGGGCGAACAATCAGTAGGGCAGAGCCCCGAAACACACGAATATGGCTTCGTTTGCTCGCACCAACGTTTCTGAAACGTCCAGCCAGAAGGACAAACAAAGATCTAGGCCAGCGCGATCTCTTCAGTGCAGCATGGCAAAGTCTGGGCGCCAGCTGAAATCGAAGCGGACAGGACCGTGGCGCGATCTGTCCTCCCCATCGCAGGCCGACCCCTGCAACGCATATACGAGACAGAAGTCAACACAATCATGTGTAGAGACAATTATGAAACTGCCCAGGGCAACGCGTCGCTGGACTCACCTGTCAAAACCTCCGCGGTAGACGCCTGGGCTGGCTTCGACAACAAAGCTGCAACCATACCTCTGCCATTTTTACTCTCAACATCAACTGTGGCGCGTACCGCCGCCTCGGGGCCCTTATGGATCTCGACTGAGAATAATGATAGCTTCTCGCCGAACTTCTTGACTTCCGCCGAAGTCGGGATTTTGGTCAACAGATCTGCTGGAACCGCAGCTCTCGTGGCGTGCTTTCGAACGAGCTCCCTCTCGCACGCTCCCTTTGCAGCCGCGTGCATCGCGCGCCCCGATGCTTCATCCGTCCACGCCCGCGCCGACGCACGAAAGTCTCGACAACTGAGGGGCCCGCGTAGCAATCGAATGAGGGCTTGCCGACACCAGCAGACTTTGCTCAGCGCGCAAGGCCAAGCGCCTCAATCATAAACCCAGCATTGCCCATGACTACCGACTCCGCGCATGGGAACGCGCGTCGATCACATCCTCGGCATGATTTCCGACTCCGTGCATGGGAACGCGCGTCGATCGCATCCTCGACATGGGGGTGGATCCGGCACGCTGCAATCCCGATCGCCCCTCCCATCGCACTTTTCCAGTCCAGCTCATCGCCGCACCAATCGCCGTCGCAGTGGGCGTCGATCCTGCCGGGCACCTCGCCCGCTGAACGTCGCCGAGCTCCTGACGCGGGGTTTCTTCAGCCGCCGGCGCGCCCATCGATCTGTCGCCTGGAGATCTGGTCGCATCCTGGCCAATAGTGTTAATCTACAAACCGCCGTTCGATGAAGCCCAGCACCCGCTGCATTCAGCCCCTGATCGTCGCCCCCCCTGCGCGCGTCTTGCAAAGCTTCGGCAAGGTGGACGGGCTGCGCCTTTCGTTCCAAGTTCGATGGGCTCGCGTCAACGTATCTTGTCTGGGCCTGGACGACCGTTCCCATCTTCGCCCCAGCACGCCTCGCCCCCGCGCGCTTGGTCTTCGCCGCGGCGCGCGCCGCCCCCGCGCGCACGGCGTCCGCCCCCCGCCACAGCTCTACTGCCCACTCGAGGTCCAACATGCAGCCCATGCATGCCCCGGGTTGAGATGGTCATTTTCTGCGACCAGTCGCCATTCCATCGCCCGAGCGCAGGTCGACGGCAGCGCCCGGCACCTCGCAATGGAAAGCGCAGGGGCGCACGCAGTCCAGGGCGAACTCGATTTTGCAACCCTTAGACTTGACCACGTTCGAAAAGTCCCGCCACTTTCACGCGCCCGGCCTCCTGCCGCAGGCGGCCCTCAAACGCCGCCGCGCTGTCTCCCTCTCGCAACCCCGCCGGTGCTCAGGCGGCGGCCAGATAAACACACACACACACACACACACACACACACACGCGAGAGGGGGGGAAAAAAAAAAAAAAAAAAAAAAAAAAAAAAAAAAAAAAAAAAAAAAAAAAAAAAAAAAAAAAAAAAAAAAAAAAAAAAACTCGCCCCGCGGCGCCTGGGCGAACGCCGAAGCTGCGTCAAAACCGATTGGATGTCCTCACTTGGCCGCGATGAGATCTCCACCATCGAAGCAGCGGCCCCCTCACTCGCAGCCGCGGAATCCTTCGTTGCGGGGCACTCCCCGGCGCAGCAGCGCGCCTGCTACTCGCGGAGCCGGCCCGCCCAAATGCCAGTGAGCATATTCACGCCCGCGGCGCGCGAATCCTCCGGCGCCCAGTCCTCCGCGCGGCCGTTGTCGACGAACTTCTCCACGGGCGCCGCGGCCTGGGCGCTGGCCGCCGAGCGCCGCGGGCAAAGCATCTCCCTTGCGAGGCTTCCTCTACTCCGGTCTGCGTGACCAATATCGCCTGCTTGGGCCGCGGCAGTCACCGCGCGCCCTCGCTCTGGGCTGGCCCCGCAAACCTCGGGCGCCCATGGCCGGGGCATCGCCGAGTGCCTCCTCGGCCACGCCTTGCAAATCCACCGCTGCTGCTGGGGCTTCCTGCGACGCGCCTGCCGCCGCTGCCCGCGGAGGAATCTCCGCTCCTGCCAGCAGACCGCCCGCCTCCGGCGCGTCGACCAAATCCTGACTGCCAGGCGCCCGCGCCGAGACTCTGCACCTCCGCCGGCAGGGTGCGCGGCAACGCCGCCTGGCTGAGACCCCCCTGGCCGACGTTGCCCCTCGGCTCCCCGTGGGCCGCCCCGTCGAACATCGCTTCGTTTGGCGACCTTCCCGCCGCCTTGCCCGTCGCGGCGCCGCGCCGAGTCAGCACGACGCGAGCGTCGTTCCTTTCCGTTCGTCCGTTCCGCGCGCCCTCGACCCAGTGCGCGCTCAGCTCCTTGCGCAATCCCTCGCGATCGCCGAAAGCCCCGATCATCGCGAGCTCTCCAAACGGCACGACCTAGGAAATAAAAACATCCCTACTCGCGGCCCGGGACGCCGCCGCCTCGGTCCGCTCGTGCATCTGGCGCAGTTTGATGACCCAAGCCGCGCGGTCAAACCACCGTGGAAATAACGCAGCAATAACAATAGCACGGGGGAAGCAAGCTCGAATGTCGGATGGGGGCGCTCGAACCTTACCCTAGAGGGATCGATGGAAGCCCTGTTCTGCGCCGTCGTCTTGGCTGGCTTCCACTACTGGGCTGCGTAGTCAACCACGCCCCTTTAAGCCCGTCTCGCTATCGCCCCTGAGCACAGCGCGCGATGCGTCGCGGCCCTCCAGGAACGCGAGGGAGTCTCGCGAGGCCGCCTCCTCTCGCCATTGCTTGAGCACCGCCGCAGGACCTCCTGCTCAGTTGCCAGTGCCCCCCATATACTGAAGAGTGTGGCCCTCTGGTGAGACCGTTCGCAACAATTCCCAGTACCTGCCAAAGACTGTAATCAACTGGATGCAACCGGCCTAGCTCCGCAAGGTCGCCTCGAACTGCACCCGCGTGAGCACCCGACCAGAAGTTGGCCGCAGTGCATACCTCACACCAAGCTGCCACTGGGCAGTGAGCGAGGTCGTGGCTGTCGACGATGCGCAGACCTTACATCCTTGCACTAGCGGTTGCACTAGCAGCCGACGCCTGTCCAACACCGATGCCCACCCCCCGCCGTACGCCCCCCGTCAAGCGGGAAACAAGCTGCATGCATTTAGGCCTCGCCAGCGGCGTCGCGTCGGGATGCCACTCGCCGCCACGATCGATCGTCATCGTAGCTGGCCAGCACCGCTCGACGACCCGAGCTCGCCGTGATTCAACACACCCACGATGATCACTTCGTCGCCGCCACGATGCATTGCCCTGACCACGAGGGGCCGGTCTTCTCCCAGCTGTCCCGGACAAGCGCCCGCCTTGACATGAGAAAGGGGGCATTCGCATAGGCGTCGCCTTCGATGGGCCCCGCTCCCTCGCCGACCCCCCCTGCCCCGCGCGCGCGGCCTCTCTCCCTCTCTCCGCCAAGTGGATGCCGAAGACACTTCGTGCAACCTGCCAACTGAGAATACGCTCTTGTCACCCCCCTCGCAACCCGATCGCTGTCTCAGATCATGGCGGGATCCGCGACAGTCCTGCCGCAACTCCGGATCGTTCTATTCCGGGCGATTGAGAGCTCGGCCTGCTCTGCGTCGTCGATGCCGCGCTCGGGGGCGAAGCCCGCTTGCGGGCGTTGCTCTGGCGGCCTGGATCGAGCGTCGCGTGCCCGACGCGCCCCCGATGCCCTGCCCCCGTCGGCGCCAGGGCCGCCGTCGCAGACCCCGCGCGCCAAACCCCCTCTCCCTCGCCACTCCCCCCTGGGATTGTCGCGGGAGCCTGCCGCCGCCAGGCGTCGCCCCCGCCCCGGGGTCCCCTGCTCCATCCGTCATCGTGGGGCTCCCATGCGCGTGGCCAGTCCTCCTGGTGCATCAGCCCGCGTCATCGTAGCTCAACTGCGTCACAGCTGTGAGCCCTGCTATCGTTCTCGCCACCGTCGCTCATGCCGGGAGCGGCGCTGGCGCTCCTCGAGAGACTCGCTGCTGACTCCAGTGTCTGGCAGACAGGAGAAGTAGTTCTTGAACTTATACGGGAGCCCTTCGAATGCTCGTTTTGGCCGCCAAAGTCTCGAGGCTTCCCGAGGCGATTCCCGGCGATATCCAACTCAATCGTGGGTCCTGTCCAAAATCCAATTATGGTGCGCTGGTGTGAGAGCCAGCACGCTTGGGCTCATAACCACACTTCCCTGTTTGAGCCCGGACGACTGTGTAATGATATCAACTCAGAAACTCTCTGGAGCAACTCCTCTGGCATAGCTCCGCGCTCGCACGTGCTATGCACGCTGAGCTATGCTGTAACACTGCCTCGGTCTTGCATCGAGACATGAGAAGACCTCGAGACTTCACAGGAGGGCCCAAGAGCGCTCCGCGAGTTCCGCAAGCCCCAAGAGGAGTCCAATGACGGCCCGAGAGCGAAGGTCCATCGGCACCAGGCCTTAAGATGGCCCGAGCTTGCTTCAACGAAGGATTGCAAAACAAACCCTGTGTTTTTTCGCAATCCTTGGGTTGTTTTGCAATCCTTGTTTTTTTTTGCAATCCTGTTTTTTTTTTTTTTTGCAATCCGACGCCACGAGATGGTGCCAAGGTGGCCAAGACTGGTCCGAGACAGCCCGCTGGATTGCAAAGATGGCCCTCGAGGAACAGATGTGCCGCCCCCTCCGAGTTTCCCGCGACGACCAAAATCGTTGAAACGATGCTGTCGTTGTTGATGCTGTTGTTGTTGATGTTTTTGTGGTTGTGGTTGTGGTTGTGGTTGTTGTTGTTGTTGATGTTGTTTTGGTTGTGGTTGTGGTTGTGGTTGTGGCTGTTGAACATTATTAATTCTAAAGAATAGTTATTGTTGGGACCCCTGGTGCACGGCCCCCCTGCGCCGCCTAGGCCGCAGCTACATTTTCATCATTTTCGTGAGGAAGCCTCAGGTAATTCGATGTGATCAAGATCCGGTTGTTTTGTTCCCCCCCGCTTTCCCTTGCAAAAAACACTATAAAATGACATTTCTTGTTCTAATATAATCAAATTTCAAGAATCCCTTGCAAAAAATAAGGTAAAGTGGACATTCGCGCGCGCAAGACGAAATCCTTCCAAAACCTTAGTGTTCGGAGCGATTTTAACATAAAAACATCAAAAAACCAATGGTTTTTCAACAAAAAAATTGTCAAAATCTCATCCCGCGCGCTCTTGCGGATTCGTAGGAAACCCAACACTTTTTAAACATTTCTGTCAAACGGGCTTTTGCGAGCAACTTTTTCGAACTTCTGCGACAACGGTTGCGCACCTGCCAGGGCCATCATCCCTGTCAAATAATACCATGCGGGACACATTCGTTTTTTCTTCGCGCGCGCACGCCGTCGTCGTCGGCCGCGGGGCCCTGAATAGTAGCCACGGTCGTCCGCATGCCACGAAGTGAAGTGTCCGAACGTCATAGGGCGGGAAGCTGGGTGTGGGTGGTGGCGAAGAGTCGTTTGGAAATTTGGTAGAGCTTGAACCGGCCCCCCCACAAAGTGGGGGTATTGCCCGCCTCCTATGAAAACCCTGGCACTGGTGAGAACGGAGTGTCCCCACGTGCTAGTAATTGTTGTTGTTGTTGTTGAACATTATTAATTCTAAAGAATAATTATTGTTGGGACCCCTGGTGCACGGCCCCCCTGCGCCGCCTAGGCCGCAGCTACATTTTCATCATTTTCGTGAGGAAGCCTCAGGTAATTCGATGTGATCAAGATCCGGTTGTTTTGTTCCCCCCCGCTTTCCCTTGCAAAAAACACTATAAAATGACATTTCTTGTTCTAATATAATCAAATTTCAAGAATCCCTTGCAAAAAATAAGGTAAAGTGGACATTCGCGCGCGCAAGACGAAATCCTTCCAAAAGCTTAGTGTTCGGAGCGATTTTAACATAAAAACATCAAAAAACCAATGGTTTTTCAACAAAAAAATGTCAAAATCTCATCCCGCGCGCTCTTGCGGATTCGTAGGAAACCCAACACTTTTTAAACATTTCTGTCAAACGGGCTTTTGCGAGCAACTTTTTCGAACTTCTGCGACAACGGTTGCGCACCTGCCAGGGCCATCATCCCTGTCAAATAATACCATGCGGGACACATTCGTTTTTTCTTCGCGCGCGCACGCCGAAATCTCCAAAAACCATTGGGCTTCTTAAGAATTTTAGCACCGCGCATCATAAAATCACACGAATCGCACCGTAGGTCCTCGAAAAACACCTGCACGACTTTTCAAAATTTCTACCCGCGCGCGCTGTCCTAACAACTTCTGTGGGTGTGTACTCCACGCCAGTGTAGTAGCCACGGTCGTCCGCAGGCCACGAAGTGAAGTGTCCGAACGTCATAGGGCGGGAAGCTGGGTGTGGGTGGTGGCGAAGAGTCGTGTGGATATTTGGTAGAGCTTGCACTGCCCCCCCACAAAGTGGGGGTATTGGCTGGCGTCGCATGAAAACCCTGGCACTGGTGAGAACACTGAGCGTTCGGGTAAAGTGATTGTTGTTGTTGTTGTTGTTGTTGTTGTTGTTGTGGTTGTTGTTGTTGTTGTCGTCACCTGCTGTGCTTTCTTCCATCTGCGGGATCCGTGCGACTTCTAGGGCCCCGCGGTGGCCCGAGGACGGCCCCAGGGGAGCTCCCCGAGTGCCCCGAGGCTGAAAAAGAGGGCCGCAGTGCGGCTCCAAAGAGAACCCAACAGGGCCCGAGAGGGCCCGGAGACCCTCCGAGGAGGGCCCAGGACGGCTCCAGCGGCCCGCGAGCGGCCCAAGAGAGGGTACCAGTGGGTGGTAGGCCCCAGGACCGCCCCGAGCCATTCCCAAGAGGCTCCCCAAGATGGCACCCAAGCAACCCGAGATGGTCCAACATGGCAAGAGGCCACTGGAAGCCCCCGTGAGGCCTCCAGAAGCCTCCAGAAGCCTCCCACAAACCTCCAAGAGTCCCCCGAGCTGCTCCGACAGCAGGCGTGGGCGGTTTACAATTGCCTTCTCGTGATGCCGGACTTCCATGGCGAGACTCGGGCGGGGGCATGATCCGTCGAGTGCTGCACTCGCACTACCAAGCGACTGCTTCTCCCGCGTGAGTTTCACGCAACATATCGAGAAACCGACCACCACCCAACAACTTCACGATGCCCACGAACACACAAGGAAACTGCCAGGACGATGAAACATGGGCCCGCGGAATAAGCGAAGCGGTGGAATAAGCAATATCGAAGATGTTGGCGACGGTGTCTTGAGTATCCAGCAGCATGCCCCTCGCATTGACTATCTTATCAACCAGCAAACCAGTGGAGCGCGCGTTGAAGATCAACTCGACAATGGACATGCTCTGGTAGTTGGGGTTGTAGAGGGCTAACTCCAAAGCTATACTTGCAAACATTGGGCTGAATAGGTCACGGAAATCCATAAGAGTGATGTTCTGTTGGTTCACTAGCACGTAAGCAGGGTCATTGATCTCTGAGTTGGGCAGCACGATCGTGGCAACGTAGCCGCCCTGTCCCCTGTAGCCAACCCCCTGTTCGTACCTCCACGTGTAGCCGCCGCGTTGTATCAGCCCCTTGTCCTCGAAATCCCCTGTCCCAGTGCCAGCCTTGAGCTCGGCGGCCAGCCACGTGCTCGGGTACATAGGCCGGAAACGATCTGTAGTGGCAGGAACTGCCTGAGCCTCTGTCAACTTCATCTGCCTGTATGTGAGACGAATTGCGGCCTCGTCGGTCTCCGCGGGCACGATCCGGTTAAATCCCATCAACGACAGCGCCTGAGCGCCATTCGCTGACTGTGACTGTATCGCGGAGGTGAACCATTCCAGCCACATCAAAATGTCATCGAGACTGTTGATGTCATCGAAGAACTTGGAGACCGGCAAGACGGAGAACGGCTGCTTATAGATCCCGGTGACAGAGCCCACCCACACTTCGTGGCGCAATGCAACGCCGCTGCGCCTGATGCTGACGAACGTTGCCACGCATACGTAAATCCGCCTCCACGCCTTGGGCACAGATCGGAGCAACCCAAGGGTCATGCAAGTGTGGGAAGTAGAGAGACAGTAAGACATTCAGGGACCCCAGGGACCCGATTTGCCGGAACTCCAGAGGCTTCGTGGAGCTCCCCTGGAGCTCCCAAAGTGCGGTTAGCGCGCGAGGCCACAGGCCACTAGATCCGCCGCCCCCCGTGCTTGCCACAGGGATGCACGGCGTGCTAAATGTTCGAACGTCTATGGTTCCCATGGGGGTCTCAACCGATCCCGCCGGCATTGCTGAAAGCCTGGTCGGCAGGCCTCGTCCTCCGGCTCAAGGATTCCCCCAAGGGGATCCACAACGGCTGGGGAGACAAATAGTCCAATAGCTTGGCCAGACTTCGGCAGAACGTTTGGCCGCATGGGCGTTTCCGACAGGCACGGAGCGGCGGAGATTTGCCGCAGGCGTTTTCGATCCGCCGCCCCATTCGATCTATCCAGGGGCGCTTGGCGCGCGGAGTCTTACGACTCCCCCTGGCATTTCAGAAAAGCTTCGCTGGCTCTCGGCCCACTCCGCCGCCCTTGTGTGGAGAGGTAAATTACTCCGATGGTAGGACCCCACATGATAATCTGTTCAAATTGCATGGGGATCTCCTCCTGCCCCCTCCATTCTCCCACCTACTCAAGCCTCCTCCTTCTCTTCATGCCTGCTCCTCCTCCTGCCTCAACCCCTGCCTCCTTCTCTCTCTCCCTCTCCCTCTCCCTCCTCCTCCTCCTCCTCCTCCTCCTCCTCCTCCTGCTCCTCATGCTCCTCCTCCCCTCTCCCTCCTCTTCCTCTCCCTCTCCCTCCTCCGCCTCCTCATCGTCTCATCTTCCTCCCCGTCCTCCTCCTCCTCCTCCTCCTCCTGCCTCCTCCTTTGGCCTCCTGCCTCCGCCTGGGGCCTCTTAGGGCCTATTAGGGCCTCCTGGAGCTCTCTGGGCCTCCCGGGACCTCCTGGGGCCTCCTAGGGCATTCCTCCTCCTCATCATCATCATCATCATCATCATCATCATCATCATCATCATCATCATCATCATCATCATCATCATCATCATCGTCCTGTGCCCCCTCTGCCTCCTCCTCCTCTTCCTCATTCTCTTTCTCGTCCTGCATCCTCCTCCTCCTCCTCCTCCTCCTCCTCCTCTTCTTCCTCGTGCGGAACACGACCTACAGGAAACGCACGACGTGCGCCCTAGCGGCTACGCGCCGGAGGACGACCCAAAGGAAGCGCGCGCCGGAGGACGACCCGGAGAAAGCATGTGAGGTGCGGGCCCCCCCGCCTGAGACTTCCTCGCAATTCACTCACAGACGAAGATCCGGCCTGATACTTCCCCCAGATTCATGCCTCAGGAGCCCAAAAATGACGAAAGTTGCAGGAGGCGGGTGACCCGCTCGGATTATTCACATGGCCCCATAGGGAGGGGTCTCCCGCCTCAGACTTCCTCGCAACTCACTCACAAACGAATCTCCCACCCGATACTTCCTCCATGTTCAGGTCTCAAGGACCCAAACATGACGACAGCTGCAAGAGGCCGATGACCCGCTCGGATTACTCATACGAGCTGCGGGCCCCTATACGGAGGGGGATCCCGCCTGAGACTTCCTCGCAATTCACTTGCAGACGAGGCTCCCGCCTGATACTTCCTCCATATTCAGGCCTCAGGGGCCCAAAAGTGACAACAGTTACAGAAGGCCGATGACCCACCGCGAAGTAAAAACATGAGCTGTAGGCCCCATAAGGAGGGGGCTCCCGCCTGAGACTTCCTCGCAATTCACTCACAGCCGAGGCTACCGCCAGATACGTGCTCAAAATGAATGTGTGCGCGTGTGAGTGATGATGATGCTGATGTTGATGCTGATGCTGATGATGTTGATGATGATGATGATGATGATGATGATGGATGATGATGATGATGAATATGATGATGATGATGATGATGATGATGATGATGATGACGATGTTGATGACAATGATGATGATGATAATGATGATGATGATGATGATGATGATGATGATGATGATGATGATATGATGATGTAAGTGATGATGACGATGTGGATGATGATGATGTTGATGTTTGTGATGTGAGTGATGATGATGATGATGACGATGTGAGTGAATGATGATGATGATGATGATGACGAGTGATGATGATGATGATGTGTGTGATGTGATTGGTGATGCTGATGATGACGATGTGAGTCATGATGATGATGTTTGTGATGTGAGTGGTAATGATGATGACATTGTGAGTGATGGTGCTAATGCTGATGCTGATGCTGATGCTGATGATGATGATGAGGACGGTGGTGATGATGGTGTGAGTGATTGAGTGAATGATGATGACAATGATGTAGTGAATGATGATGAGAAGGTTGATGGTGTTATGATGGTGATGGTGTGTGACTCATTGAATGAATGAGTATGCGAATGGAGAAGAGCTCATGAGGTCTGTATCGGCTCATTGAATGAGTGGATAACGACGATGATGGTGCTGGCGATGATGTGTGTGAGTGAGTGGGTGGTAGGTGGTGAGTGAGTTTGTGTGTGTGAATAAAGGAGTGATGATGCTGAGTGAATGTGAGTGTGTGAGCGAGTGGGTGAGTGTGTAAGTGATAATGATGTGGTGGTGATGATCCTGATGTGAGTGTGTGCATGTGTGAGTGAGTGAGTATGTGGCGAATGAATGAGTAAGAAGAGAGGGGGTGTTCCCGTGTGTTCCTGCGCGGTGTGCCCAGAGAAAACAAAAGACCCACTTTGGATGTGGGGAAGAACAAAAAGCACGCGCCTAGAAAATGGCCACGCTAGCCCGAGTTGGCTTCCAATGCGGCCCTCGAGGACCCGAGGTAGTCCTGGGTAGCCTCCAAAATGGCCCAGGGGGGTCGAAGAGCCCCGAAGACATATCAAGGGGGTTCCGAAACGGCACAGGAGTAGCCAAAAAGGTCCAAGGTGGTCCCAAGACAGCCCAAACAGCCCCTAAGACGACCCAAGGGGGCTCCAACAGGGTCATAAAGAGGCCAATGTTGCCAAATCGTTGAGTTACCTTACGCGCTTCAATGACATATGCGTGCTCGCTCTCCCAGGCCTCCCACAGCCCAAGACGGCTCAAGAGGCGCTGCTCCGGCCCAAGAAGCCCCCCACAGTACCGCGGACCAATGATATGCCCCCAAGACGGCCCAAAATGGCCCGAAGATGTCACAAGCGAGTCTCAGAACGGCCCTGCAGGGTCATAAGCAGTCACACGGACGGACCAGCCAGTGCCCCATCACGTCTGAACCGCGGGCGCCTCGAGAACGGCGGGGGGAGAAAGGCGGGGACTCTCCGCAGGCGTCTTGGCCACTGAACCCGAGGGCCCACGCCCAC